TATATATATTTTAAGGATTAATGTCAAAAAATACAAAAATCGCTAAGCCGTGGCAGCCATCGTGAATCAGAGTAACTCCAAAAGTAAATCAGATGAAGGCGTACATCAAATATTCATTTTCTGAAAGATTCATTAAAATGTATTCAGTGGTTTTTGAGATATTTTGCTGACAAACAGGATTGACTTCAACAGTTAAYGCCAACAACTTAAACAAAGTTGTTGAACAATCTGTTTTCACTCAGAGTGTGTGTTGGRSATGACTCTCATCTACTACCACACCCAATACTAGTTGATCATGTTTGCATGCATTATGATCAATAAGCTGTGGCAGCTACATTTAATCGCTCTGACTTTAAACTTTTATCATTTATAGACGAACGTTCAGTGGKTATTTTCTGAACGTTTCATTAAAAYYGGTGYAGTGGTTCATAAGATATTTTGCTARCAGATGAAAAAGAGAGACACATTCACACACGCAACACAATCACCCAACTCTATGAAAGATGATAAAAGAAAATGAACTTAACTCTTTAACTCTTTAACTCACTCCAAAGGGACCTAAAAGACTCTTAATGTGAAAAGACTGATTAGCATCTGATTAATTCTGACATCTCTACAGTTCAACATGTTAATAGCCGAATTATTCAGGAAAGTTATTATTATTATTATTATTTGTGACTGGTACTATAGTCAGGATAAAAAGTAAGACGGATGTAGAGCAACCCCAAGTGGAAACATTTTCCCCACTGTCGCACAGATTTGCATTTTAAAAAGATAATGAACTGTAACAGACCTCCGAGAACACACTGGAGAGTTTTCAGACACTCAGTGAAAGTGTTGGAGTTACCCAGTCAAAGTCTGGATCTGAAGCCAGGGAAGACTCTGGAGAAATATGAAACTGGCCTTTAAATGCTCCCGATCAAACTCAGCTGAGTTTTAATATTCCAGCTGCAAACAGGAAGAGAGGCATCCAAAGTGTGGACGAGTCAAAAGAAACGCATCATTTCTGAGATGACCTGAGGAAGTCACTGCTGCTAAAAGTGCTTAATATATTCAGAAGAATATTTTAGATTTTAAGTTTTCAAGTAAAGCATAAAACACAACTTTCAAACGGACCAATAGAAAATATGAATGATTAAAATATATTTAAATGCATTTAAA